GAGCAAAGTTTAAATTATTACAAACCTTCTGTGACTTTGTCGGATTAGGAGTGCTCTCGAATGTAGATTCGTGAAGCGAATAATCAACAAGTTTGATATGTCCGTCAGTAGAGGTGCCACCATTTAAATTAGAAGGAACGGTGACGGATTGAATCCTATAAATTAAAGCAACAATAGAACAGCCACCATTATTCTCAGGAAGAAATCACCTCTCGGTAGGTGTGGCGTAATCTCCAGAAGCCAATACTGCTGCATCTTCATCATACTCATCGTGAACTTCTGTAATCTGAAAACGTATCAAATAAGTTAAATTGCAAGTATAATTCTAGCAAAGCATACCTCAACCTCATCATCAAATTGTGACTGGATCCTGATGCTGCGTGTCACATGTCCAACCCCTTCATCGCCATTTGCGGTCGGTTCTGCGATTGTAGCGTTATCAGAAGTCCTCTCTATTATAGATTCGTAGCTAAAAATGAGATTGACAATTGGGAAAGACAACGGATGCTTTGCCGTACCATATTTTGTTTATAGCAGGAGCTTGAAGACCTCCATCCTGTGATTTGTAACTACTTGAGGACTCCAAATTGGATGGAGACGCAAACATTGGACTATCATCGTCATCCTGTTCTTCTTGCTCAATGTAACTCAATCTTTCATCAACAAACTGCTCCTCTTCATCCTGCTTCTCAATTTGTTCTGATACCGTTTCAACAACAGGCGCAGGATTGCTTCCCCCTTCCTCCTCTTCTTGTTGCTCCACAGCCACATAATGCACAATATTCTTTGAAGGATGAACTTTTTCACATTCATCTATTTCCTCTTCTTCATCTTGCTGTTCGATATGTTGCTCCTCTACGGGTTCTTCTACGAGCTCTTCTATAACGGGGTGACTCACATACATTTCTTTGTTTTTTCGTTTTAACTGCTGTCCGACAGCCTTCAACACTGCAATTTCTTCCGGTTCTTGAGCTTCTAGTCCATCTTCCTCATCATCCTGTTCTTCTACAGTCACTGCACTACCATCAACCTCCTCCATATCCGCGTCGCTTTCCTCTTCATCTTGCACTTCAATGGATCGTTCCAAAACACTATCTGAGTCTCGAGTAGCTACGGGTTCTTCCAATATTTCAACACTAGAGCTTGGACTGACGTAGGGTGCAAACTCTTCCGGTTCAACCACGACACATTCTTCAGCTGTAGCAGAGCTTTCGAGGTTTTCATCATAGTCGAACGATTCATCGAAATTAGGCTGAAAATATGGCTAAGATGCAAGAATCCATGTGATTGACACCATCTTAGATATGGAAAATATTGTAATGCGCTCGTCGTCTGCGGCTAAAGTACAGCTCATCCACAAGAAATGGAGCTTGCTAGTATAGAGTGCTCGCATGAAAAAGCAGCAAACTTATAGAATTTTGTTTGAAACAAATAATATTCCGCAATATGTTCATAACACACTCTTCCAAATTCGTTCTGAAGAAATCTTGAAAGCACCTCAAGGAGTGAGTCTATACAAAGGATATGGTGAAAATGAGTACTTTCCCCATTGCCAAATATTATTGTTTTAAGACCAACCTGTGCCATCTTATCTAATTGTTCAGGGCCAGTAGAAGATGGGCTGGTTTGTACCACTGACGATTGACTTGAAGACGGGAGATCAAATTGAAGACGATTTCGTGAAGGTGAAGCGGCCCGTTCGGATGCTTAAGAATAATTTGTGCATGACAAACCAGATATGGCAATAAAGTATTTTAAAAAACGTTTTTACCCGCTCTGGCAGACTTGAGAATACTCCGTGGCACAGGTTTCTGAAACTCAGCTTCTGGAGTCTTTTCAATCCACTTGCGTTGTGATTCAGCTTGCGCAGCAGCACGCGCACGAGCTTGAGGGGTTCTCAGAATATCGGTTATGGTATTCAAAGTAGTTGCAGGGATATTCCTTGAGCGAAAAACACGTATAACTCTAATGTACATCATAACATTAAAGAATTGCCTACTTTGGAAGAGAAGTAGTGTCGTCCTCACTGAAGTCTAAAAGCGCACGTTTAGCAGTAGATGTTGTCTTGTCTGACTGAAAATATGGATTGCAGACAAGAAGGAAGACAAAGTTGTTTTCGAGATTCTATTTTAGTAAGATCTTTTAGTTATCGGACTATACTCAAAGTTACCAGAAAACCGCTAATTATGTACAGCTAATCAAGCAAGCACTACGATGCGATATGAAAAACAACCCTAGCGTGCAAAGCATCATATCTAGGTTACCTTGCTATATCTTAACGGATAAAAAGAAGAGACTGAAGTGCACTTCACGCGATAAACGTAAGACGTGAAGGCAGAGCAAAGCTCACGTGTTACAAAAAAACGAGAGTGTGGTTGCACAAGTATGACTTTTCCATCATAGTTATGGATTCTTGCAATACTATTTTTTCACCAATACAATCAATGCAAAAATCTTGAGTTGCTCGGTAGTAGAATTCCAAGAGAATTACAAGGATGTCCTAAGATGGGCGCGAAATCGATTAGCTATAAAACATACAAGTAACACATTCCAACCTAGCGTATAAAATACGCAAATGTAGCTTTAAAACAAACTTGGTTTACAAAATTTGCAAAATGATGCGACGTGATAAACATTAAACAGCAAGTTTTTTCACTCTTGGCCCTAATGGATATTCATCACATGAGGCCGTGTTCATGGTATAACCGATACAAGAACTAAAATTTGAAAGAAGGAAAGTGAAGCCAAAGGGAAAACGAAAAAGAAAGCAGTGAAGTTAACTGAAAGGAGGCATACCTCAGTGGAAGTTTGGGGTGAAGTTAAATTCATCTGCTGTAAAGTAGTTGTCGCATTACGTTTTCTGGACAGAAGCCCATCAGTGTTGTATTGCCTAATAATGTACAGTGATTTGAATTCAAAAAAATCTGCAACACATTCACCGTTTGATGTTTAGAGACTTAGGAGTCTTCCCGCGACTGGGAATTGGGATACCGGTGTCATACCATCCAAGTGAAGAACGCCATTCTTGCTCTAAAACAAAATATCACCAACAATAAATTTCAGCAGAGGAACAAAAATCTTTAAATACTCACCAAAATTCTCAATCGTTTGCTTCATTTCCGATGGCCATGATATCTGAGTCAACGGAGAGAGCCGCTTGCTACGCCGAAGCATCCGCACAACAGGAAGTAGCTGTTGGTACTCCAGTATAAACTCATTACTTTCATTTGAAGGAACAATAAGCTGAAGTAGAAAGCTAGTTACGAAAACAGATTCAATTATTCAAAACCACAGACCTCTTTAAATTCGTCGAACTTTTTGCATCTTGCTAAATAGCACTGCCAAACAAACTCGCCATAGCGGACAGACTTCAGTAAAGCTGAAAAAGTGAGCTAAAGCAACGCAAAAGCCAAACTCACATGTAAAATACGCACATTGTAATTTTTCTTCTTCTGCAAGAGTAAGCGGACGGGGAATACTCATTATCTGCTTGATTTCAACATCGTGGGATAAACGTTTTCGAGGAGAACATTGTTCATTCTCCTCGTTTTCACTTAGTGGCTGAAAGAAAAGATAACTATGCGAGAAATGCGATTTTAAGACAAGTCAAATTAACAAGATGCAAGGCGGCAACTTCTAGGCAAAGAGATAAAACACAGTTATGCATTTCAAGAATCCCTTGCAAGAATATTTTCCTGGCTGCAGAACTCTGAATGGATCATAAAACTACTAAAAAACCTATCAATAACTCTCTTCCAGGGATATTATATGTATTGTATGAGACGGCCAGGTACTGGTTTATCTATGCTATTTCTGGTATTCCTCCAGCATTCCATAAAACATCACTTTTGAAAACACATGGTTGCCACACAAATTTTTAGGGAACGTGCTACGTACCATTCCAGCATCGGCTCGCCAAAACTTGTATAAGCTCCACAACTCCTCCTTCTTCATTCCTAATAAACCATGCATCTGTTTCGTCACGTGATCGAAAAGATCAAATGGCTTAAAGCACAAAATCAGTAAGAACACCTTAAAACGACATGAATTTACCGAGCAAGGGATATTTCCGTTGACCTTCTTGCAGTTAGTGTAATCAAAAAGATAGTAAGCGAGCAGTTGACCTTTCCACTTTGCAGGAATATTCAAGAGCAAAATAGGGCCCAGAAGATTCTGGAAAATACTCCGAAAATTCAGATACCCCATGCGAAAAAAAATATATTCATTCACTGACCAGAAGGGCTGGCGGATACCATTTCAAACCTTCCGCAAGCCAAAATGGTTCACCTGGCGACTTACGTTGCATGCGAGTGACTAACTTATCGATGTAGAGCTGCTGCCTAAATATCAAATACTAAATTGAATGAAACATATGGCATAACAAGTATAAAATGATTCCATGCAAATACCCCGAAGCCTTTACTCTTCGTTCTTCCAAAGCTTCCTCCATTGCTAGTCGTATCTCTCGGTCCTCAGCCACGGGAAGAATTCTCGATCTGATTAACTGATGAATGACGGACGAGTACGATTTGAGATTTTCGGTCGCAAAACGTTGCGCTTCTAGGCTTGTGATGTATTCCTCTAAAAATGTAACATTGATTACAATAAATATGCCTCTCAAGCAATATTTAAAGCAGGGGAGTACAAAACACACTCGTTTGATCTTGCTCTCGTTCTCCAGTGCTAATCAGTTCCCGCAGAATTTGCACGCCTGCCACAAATACATCATGCACATGCGCTAAAGACTTCTGCCCAGTTGGAGAAAGTGGAGCGGAAAATCTTGCGAATAGTGGTTCAACTAAAACAAAATATCATAAAAAGAGTGTTTGCAATTCATAGGGAAGCATTATTAAAATAAACAAACTTGTCTCATGCATTTTCTTTGACGCTCTGTCTACTTCTTCCCAAATCCATGATGCGATCAAATGACGCAATTCGGTCGATTCGCTATGCTTGATGAAGTGCACGATAGAAATACCGCGTTGATGACTTATCAACGTATGCAGAATATAGCAAAGGTTGGCATACTAAACATAGAAAATAGAAAATGCTAGAGCTTTAGTCTAAACAAAATACCTGTTCTGTCCCTCCAACTTGCTTTCTAGGAAAACCTAGAGCAGTGAGCCATGCCGACGCCGATGTAGCATCAGTGATATGCATTTCAAGGTCCGCACAAATGGTGGACAAAAGCTGTGAAAATGGAACACATAATGAAATCACTTTGATTGACTCTTTATACTCACTTGGATTAAGAAATTCTGAACTAATAATTACAATAAAACGATATTAAGAGAAGTTTTCTACTTCATTCAATTCTGTTCCCCCAATTCACTGCTCAGATAATCAAAATTACGCTAAACCTCAATTCCTTGATAAACGAAAACAGGAAGTGTAGACACTTCAACAATACTGCTTGCAATTTGCGAATATAGTTTAAGTTTTATACGAAAACTCTTCATCTGCAAATTTTTCAAAATCTAAATACTCTGATAAATACTGTGAAACTGGGACAAACACTGCTATGCGTCTTATGCGATACTTTAGTCATACCTGATTCGGAAGGCTAGGTAGAGTGAGTTGATAGCACTTTTTGGCGCCAGCTACATGTACAACACCGATCTGTGCGTTTAGCATTATCAGAAATTGTTGACTATAATCAAGTTGTAACATTTTAAAAAGCAGTTTACCTCAAATGCCGAAGGATAAAACATCTGATCAGCATCACTTATGTTGGATACAAAGCGAGTAATGCAGGAGGTATCTACTGCTACGTCCTAAATGAGCGATTTTCCTGTGTTACTTTGCAACGGCATACAAAAGCAAAAATTGATTATAAAGTTAGTTGAATCATTGAAGTCCAATCAAAAACATTTATAATAAAAGCTCTAACTCTTGGAGAAAGAAAAAAAATTCCAACAAAATATGCTTAATTCTGGAACCTACCTTGACAAGTGAGTAATCTTTTTCTTTATGGGATATAGGAATTGGATGCACTGTGGAGAGGAATGCACATTGCTGTGCAGCTGTTCCATCGTGTGCAATTACCTGCACCAGTCGTTTGTAGTAGTAAGCATTGAGATCAAAAAGGCCACCCTGTAAGAAGAAAAATCCAGCACTCGTATCAAGTCTAGATATCAAATATGGTCTATATGAAATTGATGTGCGGCGGGAAGCGAGAAGGAACTAGAAGAAATTTTACTACCTTCAAGCTATTTCCATGTCGATCCTTACCAATATAAGAGAAGAACATCAATGATCTATCTTTATCAGAGCCTGAACTTCAGTATATGTTGATGACATAATTGCGTGACCTGATTAGTAGCCATACCAAATTTGAAGCTGTCTCTGGTAGAGTCGTCATTGCTTCGAAGTTCTGCGCGATCACGCACCAGAGTTTGCGCAGATACCCAGCGCGTCGAGTTGTGGAAAGGGATCTATTCGGAGATGTAAGACTATCCATAAATATGTTGAAATATATAGAACTTATAATGCGTGAAAGAAATTGCTACGAAGTATTGCAGAACCAACCACAAGCTTGATAGCGAACACTGGCTTGTTCCATGTGCGTTCATTTAGTGGAAGAGCTTCCTCGTCTGGGAACATCACTTCATAAAGAGCTAACTGCAGAGGCTTAGCCTTTGTTGTTCTAAACAGGAAAAGCAATTCAATTAGCGTCAGATGTATAGAGCAAACAGAAACAGCCAACCCATATGCAACGAAGAACCACAAATGTGATCGTGGATCATCATCAGGTTCCAGAGTCGCTATAAACTTCACCGCAGCGCCACAAGGATACATCAGGGGATCACTGGAGTGAATGAAGTCAATAAAAGAGAAAGTATAAATGTTCAAGAAGCCTACATCGTTGGGCTGGTAGTCAAAGATATCGTCATAATTCCTCCAAATGAAAATCCGACTAAAATGGTACGACTCTTCTCCAGAAAACTTATGCAAGTGACATGAACTGTTTCTAGAATGGCATAAAATTAGCACTAATGCTATAGATATAGAGTACAGATAGAACAACCTAAAGGGAGCTTTTTTGAGAACGAATGGCCCGTACATGGATCCACGGAAGTGTAGACGAGGTCGTTCCCAGAGTGAAAAGGTCCTAGAGAAAGCAAGGATACGGTGGAGAAACCATAGCAGAGTCACATAATTGTACATACTCAAACCATCCGTAAGCTTCACAGTCACGGGTGCATGCCCGTTTTCTGCGTTTTGCTCAGCCAGTTGAAAGTGAAGAAGATAGCAGTGCGCGAAATGAGTTCCTAGACGGTGTATAATTCGCAGCAAACAACATAACAACACAATTTCACTATATATTCGTACCTACGGCAATAATGTGAGGCCACGAAGCCATTCTCGGATGCAACAAGTTGTGGAGTAGCTCCATAATCAATTCATCAGTGATGGCTTTCACGCAAGTAATCTAAACGACAGATGTTAAGGTGGCCGTCACTTCTACTTTCAAAAAAAAAATGAATTTTGTACTGAGAATAATTTTGTCTGGATTGCTGATTAAGTGGCCTTATAGAAAGAGCAACGATACCTGCTAAAGATTTCGAGTATAGCGAAAAGAAGTTAAACTATTAGATTAAAACCAAGGTAAGAATCTGGATAGAACACCTGGTTACCATCTTACTCGAGACAGCGTGAGCAAGTGAATACAAAACGACGTATATCAAGAGCAAAAAAA